ATGTGTTCTGTGTGTCACATGGAGCTATCCATTCATGTGACAATGTATTCAATGCCTTCGAGTGGGAGCTCATGGGGGTAGCACATATATGCATGGGTGTGACCTGAATGGGAAAATATATTCACTCATTGAAGAGAACCGGTGACACATATGTACATATGAGCATGAAAATGTTTGTGGATATATTGCATGCCTTGTATGTAAACATATATGCACACATGAATACTTGCCTCCATTGCATACATAACATGCTGGCCTGTGATTGCATTTGCAGACCTACAGGATATCCTCTGTGTGCTCAGCGGAGCACATGCATCTCTACATGGCAGACACAGGCGGGAACATGTCTTAGGGTGCACTGTGTGAATGCATCCTGAGCCGGCATTCTCCTGCAGTCACTGGAGCGTGAACTCCCACTTCAACCCAGGGCTGACAGGGCCACATTTGCAAAATGCTCAGCGGCCAGTGACAGAGCTGGCTGGAGCACGCTGGCTGGCAGGAGGTAAGTGGAGCTGCTGATTCGTGACCCAGGGGTGGGCGGTGATGACGGCTGGCTGACGGATGCGGGTGCTGAGCCGCCCCCTGTGACAGCAGCCGGCTCTTTGAGTTGCCTGAGTCAGGGAGGCAGGCCTTGGATCTTGACCTGTGGTGTTCAGGCTGCCTTCCTCTCTCTCTACTTTGTGTCCACAGCCCCATGTGAGGGTGCATTGGTATACACCAGAAATTCAGACCAGTGGTGGATGGTGGTGGACCAGCCTATACTCCACCTCCATCTTGCTCCCAGATCTGCCCTCTTTCTGGAGTGTCACCTCTGCGTCTCAGTTGCTTCTCTGTCCTCTCTATGTCCCACATTGTCTAGTTCCTATGAGGAGCTATGGCTGGGTGGGTGTGGGTGCTTGTAACAGTCTCAGGCCCACACTGTCTCCTTTCCTTTCTTTGTTCACTCCTTTCATCTCTCCCTTCCTCTCTCCCTTCCTTCCTTCCTTCCTCCCTCCCTCCCTTCTTCCCTTCCTCTATCCCTTCCTTCCTTCCTTCCTTCCCTCTTTTCCTTTCCCTTTCCCTTTTGTTTGTTCTTTTGAGACAGGTTCCCATGTAGTGCAATCTGGCCCTGAACTTCTTGTGTCGCCAAGAATGACCTTGGACTTCTGATCCCCCTGCCTCTACCTCCCCAGGGCTGGGTTTACAGGCCTGTGCCACCCCGTCTGATTCATGCAGCACTGGGGATATAACCAGAACTTTGTGCATGTCAGGTGAGCACACTATTGACTGAACTACATGCACTGCCCAGGCTGGGCGCACTTGAGCAAAGCCCTCTGCGTCTATGAACTTGGGGTTCTTCACATCAGCTTCGTAAAACAGGGCTCAAAAGAATCATACCTTTAAATGGAACAGGTCATGGGATGTAAAGAGTAGACACGAAACAGGATTAGCGCGCCTCATATGGATTCATATTTATCATGCAATGTTGCTTAATTAGGCACGCAGCAAGTGCTCCGTAAGCAAGCCATCATCACTCTGGCCAGCATCATCACGGTCATCCAGCCCAGTTCTAGAATGCTTGGTCAATTATATTAATGCATCCATTTTTCACCCAAGACCTCCGCAGCCTTCCCTCGCAGTGATGCTGGTGACAAAGTGGATGATAACAAAAGGGGGTTTTGTTTGTCTTTCATCTTCCTCGCGGCCTTGCGCAGAGGGCAGACATTATCTCTGCGCTTCCAGGACGAGCTGGGTGTGCCTCTTTGGTGCCTGGCGCTTGCTTGGTGGCACTATTCTTTGCCTAAAACAGGGAGGCGATTAGGGACTCCTAGGGGCCTTGTGAGACCAACACTCAGAGGCTGTCCACCCCATCAGATCTTCTATAGTCATTCCAGATCATCAGAGATGCCCAGGGGGTGCTTGGCATGGGTGGGCACTCTGTAGAACCCGGGAAGAGACCAAACACATGGGATACCTCAATGGGGAAGCAAGAACTAGGCAGCAGCTAGGATAAAGGGGCCGGGGGGTACTTTTTCTTGTAACTCCACCCCAGAACCAGCAGAAATTGCCAGAGGCTTGAGGACCACAGGCTGGGTAGGTTAGCAGTGGTGCATGGATGATGGTATTCAGATAGGTCAGGACATGCTGAGGGTTGAAAGTGTGCCTTGTCCTAGGGCTGCTGACCAGGTGGCACCACACCAGAACACCCCTCTTTAAGCCCGATTGTCTCCACTTAATTTAACCTGATCAACTTGGACCAAGGCATCTTCTTCTCTTTGTGCCTCGGTTTCCTCACCTATAAACCGAGGTTATCCCATTGGTTAGGGGTGAACTTTGGGAAAGTGTTCAGTGTTGGATATTGATACTGCATTTTGACCTCACTGTCATCTCATGGAATCGCTGTTCGAACAATGGGTGTGCTCTAATGGGTAAGAGAACGGAGGTGCAGAGACCATGAGCAAGTTGTTTAAAGTCACACAGCAGGCAGACCACAGAGCAGGAGGCCCGGATGGTGACTCAGGATCAGTGAAATTCTTTATTCCGGTCCAGTCTTTCCACTCTGTGACCTTGCCAGGTCCTGTGTAGGGTTTGGACCTGTGACATTGTATCCCTCTGAACTTGTCATTTCCCTGTTTGGGGAGATCAGAGTGAGTCAAGGCAGGTGTGTGTGTGTGTGTGTGTAGCAGGCTTGGGGTGAGCCTTGCCTTGTCTCAACTGTTAATATCTGGGTGACCTTGAAAGTCACCTTGTTCCCCCCAGTCTCAGTTTTCCTCTTGGCAAGGGACGTAATGATGAGCAGCCTTAGAACCGTTCCTGGGTTCTGTGAGAGCTGGGTCCCTAAATGCTCATTTGCTGTATTAACTATAGGAGCTGGGGGTTGAGAGTCCCTTGTAGGAAGAATGCGACTCCCACGTCCCCTACCTCACTCACCACCCATGTCTCTGCCATCAGCCACCACAGTGGTCCTCAGAAAATGGATAAATGTCTATGGAGCTATGATTGTAAGACAATAGTGGCCTCCTGAACGCCCTTCCAGCCCCCTAGGTGACTCACCCTGGTGTGAATTCCAGCTCTTGCTGGCTGGGCTCCCTTCACCAAGGTCCAAGGTGAACAGAGCCGCAAGGTTTCTTAGTCCAGCCTTCAAGATCTTTCCACAGCCTTCCCCACCTCAGCCTCCTCCTCCTGGTGAGCCAGCTCAGGGGACCACCTGCATGCTGCAACTTGTGCAGCCCAGCCTTTGCAGATCTCCCGCTCGCCTGATCACCTCATCCATCTCACGCTTACGCTTTAAGACCCAGTAGACCCCGGGAATTATCTACTCTCCATCCTGCCCTCCTGGGGCTTTGCTCTGTTCAGTCTGCTTCAACAAAGGTGTTATTACCAGTGGCCTCTGCCTTTGTCTCCTGGGCCTTTAGCTACTGGAAGGTGGGAACTACTTACCGGGACCAGTGAGACAGCTTACTGGGTAAAAGTGCTTGGCCACCTAAGTTAGGTCCTGGAACCCACCATGGAAGGAGAGAGCCAACTCCTGGAAGTTATCTTCTTTCCATGTGGGATGTAGTACACACACACACACACACACACACACACACACACACACACACACACCACAAATGTACTCCCAGTAGTAATTTTGGGCACGTTGTTGCTGTGAGCCTATTTCCTGGTCTCAGCTACCTCCAGCTCACCACTGTGGACAATTTTTTTTTTTTTGACATGGGGAGAAGGAGCTGGACTTCCCTGGGAGGGTGACAAGGTCACCAAGGAACATTTACCGAATTCTTCCTATGCGTCAGGGAGACAGTGAGACTGGAGCTCTGCACCAGCTACCTCCTTTTTAGCATCCACTACCCCCACTTTACAGCCAAGCAAACTGAGGCTTCAGCAGTAGAGGGCCTGGATGAAGGGTGGCCAACTATCAGGAGCCTGAATTCATACCAGGCCCATGGATAATCACTGAGTCACCCTAGAGGGACTGGGAGGGAGGATAGGAGACAGCCATTATCTTATAAACATTATCTCATGTAGCCAGGCTGGCCTCAAACTCACGAAGTAGCTGAGGGTGTCTTTGAGCTTCTGGTCCTCTTGCTTTTCCCTCACAGGATTGCCGGTCTATGCCACTATGCCTAGTCCGGGAGAATCTTAGGCTGGAATCTAGAGAGGGAGAGACCCCAGCCCCCACAGCAGACAGATGACGTCACGACGGTCACCACTGTGAGCAGTGTTTTCTCCTCACCCAAGCTCATCTGGTTTCAGCATCCTTGCCAGGGGCCTTATTTTGATTTAGCCCAAGGAGCAGGAAGATTCTGCAGTTGCTAGGCACATCTGTGTCCCCTCAGAGGAGGACCAGGGGCTGACAGCTGGGACCCATTCCTTTTCCCTTGGAGATGCTGGGAGGTGGCAGAAGGGTGAGGGAGTGAGCTCAGACACGAGGGCCTCCAGTAACCACAAGGATAAGGGTAGTAACAAAGGCGAGCATTTATTGAACACCTACTCTGTGCCAGGCACTGCCCAACAACTTCACACATGAACTCTTCTCATCCTCTCAAATCTTCGAGGTAGGTGCTGTTATTAACCTCATTTGACAGATGAGGAAACTGAGGCCCAGAGAAATGAGGTGACTTGTCCAGGCAGCTGGTCAGTGCCAGAGACGCCACCGCTTGCTGTCTGGGTGTCCCCGGGCAGGTCACAACCACTTCTCTGGGGGGCTTTCCCATCTGGCACCTTTGGGACTCCACCTCATAGCTTCTACAACAATGCATTCGGTCTCTGGGTAGCTCCCAGCACACAGTAGGTGCTTAGTAAATGAACAGCCCTTCCTTCATCTTTACTTAGATGCCAGAAAGCCTTGGGGCGGGCATGGCAGCAGCGCCCTCCTCTGCTTTCTCCTCCCAGGTCCTTTCCCAACACCGGGTTCCCCCTCCGCGGTCCCTTTCAACCCCAGGGCCCCAGCAGGTCGGGTTCCCCTCCCTTTTCCTGACGTTGGTCACCACCCCCGTGCCCCTGAGTCCTCGCAAGCTTCACCCCTTGGGGGCGTGTCGCGGCGCGGGGGCCATGCAGGTCCCCTCCCGTCGGGGCCGCGCTGCCGGACTGGCCGGGCTGAGGCTAGGAGGCCGG